TGAAAAATCAGTAACACCAAACTATCAAAAAAAGATATATAAAGTCTGAAATTAAACTTAACTTACAAGTGTCTGTTGCATATCTAATGTGTTCTCCATTACAAGTGCTGATAAAAAGCTGCACCTGTGAGAATAATGTTTCGAAGTCAGGGATGCTGGGCATAGAAAACTTCACAAACCTGAAACACAGAAACAAAAGGTTTAGCACTTAATGTCTAGAGGTTAATAAAAAAAGCTACAACTTCATTGCTAAGTCTCTGCACGTAGGTGCTTGCAAACAAATCTGAACTGTTTATGACAGCCGGTGTAAGATTTCCCCAGGAGCTGCACAACATTTGAAAACACTTTTCCATGCACACCCCAATTCTCAATTTAGTGCAAACTGCAATTTAGAACAAACTATGGCAAACAAAAATCATTTTATCTGGTACAATGGTTAAATCATAACAGAAACACTGATGAATTTTAATACTCAGCCACACAACTTCTCTGGACACTTCTGCCTATCCTGCAGCCACCTCCTGCTTGAAGGTGCTCAGGAGTTCTCAACTATTAAATTATTGGATGTTTCTCTCTTGTTAGGAGCCCTTTCCCTTCAGTTCCAGTTTCTCTCCATCTGTGGTGGTTCCTGAGCATCTGTGGGCTGTAGCCTTGCAAAATGCATTTTTACAAGGTGCTTGTGAATTGTAACATCAAGTGCATTTATCTCCATGTGTTACAGTATTGTTCTTCAAAAGGGTAATAGAACAAATACTAGAATTCTGATCTTTCCCTTAAAAAGCAGTTTTAAAATAATAGTGGAACCTGCAGATACTTCACTTGCAGTCAGGTACAGCCAGTTTGAAGTTCAGGGCCTCCCCTCAGCACCCCCAGGGCAATTCAAGCATTATCTTGAACTACAGACAGCAGCAAGAGCCCCAGTGCTGTCCAGAGACAACCCCCCAGGAACTATGATAAACCCCACGTTCCACTGGAATAAAACGTCTCGCTCCGTGTTTACAGTTCAACACACTAATGCCCTGAAAATCAAGTTTTAAAAGCTAATTTTATAACTTTCTGCTGAACACACATGGAAAACACTTATAATAGAATCAAAGAATGGTTTGAGCAGGAAGGGACCTTAAAGATTGTCCAGTTCCACCCTCCTGCCATGGGCAGGGACACCTTCCACTAGACCAGGCTGCTCCAAGCCCTGTCCAACCACAGCAGCAGAAAATATATATGTTTTATAAAAATTTATGTTTTATAAAAACATACACAGGAGAAAGAAATACAGCCTGAGGGAAAATGACCCCCCACATCTTACCATTTTACAGTAATGGCATTTGCATGCTTCAAAGGTTTTTTTCCTTTGAAAATACAAATTTGCCTTGGTATTTTCATTACTAAAACGTGCACCACCGAAGGAAACCAACCCACTGTAAAAAATGCAGATTGAAAACACTTGTGTCCAAAAAAAAAAACATTTGGCTGACAATTCAGCACGTTGCCTGGAGTTTTAATATTAAGATATTTAATTAAAAGCAAGCAACACTTACAAGACAGCAAGAACCCCTAATGAGTGTTCCTGCACATCCAGGGCACCGAGCACTGTATCCAGATGGGAAAGATTTTTTGCTAGCAGCTCTCCACTTTTATTGATCAGTTCACAAAGCTGGGTCATTTGCCCTGAAATACAAAGAGCATCGTTGTCAAACTCTAATTAGAGAACGCTCACAATATTCCCATCCCTCATTACAACCCTATGTAACCTCAGGAAATAGTAGGATCACCTCAAGATTTAATTTCCTTTAATACAATAGGCATTAGTTTTCAACCCACCACATGTTGTTTTTTTTTAATAAAACATACACCAGAGCTTGTTCCTTGCTGCTCCTCAAGCCCTACCCACCATTCAGGTCTGCTCATAAGCATTTTTTTGAACATTAAAGATACAACTAAGTACCTACAACAAAAGGATGTAAAAACCTGTCCTTAAATTTACTTTGTATAATTAAACCCACAACATTTTCTATTTGCACGAAACATTTCTATTTTAATCAGGAAGGTCTGGTAAGCCCAAAAGTCCCTATGAAGAAAGCAGATCCATTCTCATGAACTGCTTTCAAACTCTTCCTCCCCACCTATTAATTGAATAAATTAAAACTACGCCCTTTCGAAGCAGAGTATTGTTTCAATGGTCAATCCTTGGAGATTAGAGAGAAAAAACAAATGTTCTTTCACCCTTACAAAAGTGTTGATAAAATGAGGAATAGTGCTTCCACCCAGAAAGATTTACACTATCCTCAGTTCTATGGCCTTTTCCTTTGAAAAAGGAAAACCAGGGAAGACCCAGCAATGAAGTGACAGAGGGATCAAGAAGTTCCCAATGAGGGACCAGAGCCCAAGAGTGCCGGAAATCCACCCCCAAAACTGCTCCCTCTATACAGAATTAAATCTTCAGGCATATGCATGGGAAGGAACAGGGCTTGTAAAACTCTCTGTGGCTTGATAATGGTATTCAGGCACTGCAAAACCTTAGTTCTAGTAGAGCAATCCATCCACTCAACAGTTCTATCATTCCTCCAAAAAACAACACAAAGAACCTCCTCAAAACAGGCTCTGAGCAACACAGTCTAGTGGAAGGTGTCCCTGCCCTTGGCACAGGGTGGGACGAGATGAGCTTTAACATCCCTTCCAACCCAAACCACTCTGGGATTCTGTGATCCATCCCCGTACACACACACTGAACAACTTAGTCTAAGTAGAAATTCCCACACCAGGCCCAACTAAATGCCCCTTTATGTCACCTCTCAGGCAGCCAAATGCTGACAGCCAGAAACAACCACAAGTACACATGTTCTGTGTGCTCTCATGTCCTCCAGATGCCTGTCTGGGTCTGGATTTACTTTCATAGAATCACAGGATGGTGATTCTGTGAAAGGAAGGGACATTAAAGATCATCTCATTCCACCCCCCTGCCATGGGCAGGGACACCTTCCACCACCAGGTTGCTCCAAGCCCCATCCAACCTGGCCTTGGACATTTCCAGGGATGGGGCAGCCACAGTTTCTCCGGGTAACTTGTGCCAGGGCCTCTTCACCCTCACAGGGAAAGATTTCTTACCAATATCCCATCTAACCCTGCCCTCCATCAGTGTGAAGCCATTTCCCCTTGTCCTGTCACTCCAGGCCCTTGGAAATAGTCCCAGTCCATCTTTCTTGTCAGCCCCTTCAAGTACTGGAAGGCCACAATTAGGTCACCCTGAGCCTTCTCTTTTCCAGGCTGAACAATCTCAACTCTCCCAGCCTTTCCTCACAGCAGAGCTGCTCCATCCCTCTGATCATCTTGGTGGCCTCCTCTGGACTCTCTCCAAGAGGTTGGTTGATGTCCTTCCTGTGCTGAGGACTTTCTCACAGAGAATGCCTACCTGGCTCATCCCTAAAGCCAAACAGTCTCCAAAATGCCAAACAGTCCCTTCTTGAGCCTTTCACATCCCCAAAGCCTTGTGACAGAAAATTCTCCAGCTCAACTACAGGTGTACGAAGAACCATCTTCCACCTGGTTTGTACCAGCACCTTGTAGGTTTAATTTATCTCTTATACATGATACCCCCAGTAAAAATACTCTATATTTAACATGTTAAACCAAAGTCAGAAAAAGCTGGAACTCCACCCAAGAACTGCCAGAGAGAAAACTTAGGACCACAGAGGAAAGCATCATTTTTTGATCAATTCTAGAGATCAAACATTCCAGGCAGAGGAACACTCAAGACCCATCAACATAGAGGGAAAGTTAAGAACCGGGAAAATTAGGAGTTTGGCACATAGGAAAACTAGGAGTTTGGCAGTGAAACGAAGGAATTCTAATCGTGGTTATTTAAACACTTTCTGAACACGTGGTTACGGTCTCAGACCTGTCATACTGTTCCGTAGTGGGTCAGGACTCTCTGTCCATGCTCTGCTTCAAAATGTAGAGCATGGACGCTTGGACTCTTCAGAACCGTATTTTAAACCACTCACTTATCACAACCCGCCCGCTCGTCAGGGAGGTGACAGGCTGGGTTATAAAATCCCAGTTAAAGACCCCGCGGTGCCCGCTCCTCCCCCTGTTTTAAAGGCTCAGATTCGGGTACGACCGTCGGCGCTAAAACCACCCCCTGGGAGAACCGGGAGGGCATCGCCGGCCCCTCGTGGCCTGTCACACCCCCGGGATCCCTCCGGGGCCGCCCCGGATTCACCACACGTCGCCGGCAGCCCCTGCGGGTGTAGACACCCGAACATGAACCCCCCGGCCGGGCCCCGGGATGCGCGCCGCGGCCACCGCGCCTGCGGAGCGCCGTGCGAGCGGCAAGGCCCCAAGCACCGGCCGCCCCCCCCGCCCCCCGGCCACCGCGCGGTCGGCCCGGTGGCCCCCCGCGGCCGCCGCCCCCCCGCGCCCCGCGGCTCATCGCGTGCCCCCGGCGTCCCCCCCGTGTCCCTCAACGCCTGCGCCGGAGAGCTGCCGATAGACGCTGTTACGAACTGCTCCCAGCCACGCCATCTTGGCGGCTCGCGCACGCGGCCGCGCGCCGGAGGTAGGAGGGCGGCCCGGTGGCTGAGGGAGGGGGGGGGGGGTGTGGGGGGGAGCGGGGCGCGCGCCGGCAGCCGCCGCGCCGCCGCGCCAATGAGGGCCGCCGCGGCGCCGAAGCACCGCCCGCCGCCGCGGCCCGAGTCGCGCCGCCTCTCGCAAGGTCGTCGCGGTGGCAACCGCCGGCCAGCGTCAGATGGCGCGGAGGGCCGTGAACCAGCAGTGGCCGGAGGGGGAGAGGTGGTGACGTCATCGGCGTCACCTCCGCGCGACTCGGGGACCCCCCGCGACACCGCGACCGTGGCGACATGGGGACCATCGCGACAGCGGGACCCCCGCCACACGGTCAAGCCCTCCCGAGTGCTGGCACTGCACGAGCAGTGCAGATTTAATCCCTCTTGTCCCCTGGGAACGCGGTGGTTGTCCTCTGATTCCGTGTAATGTTCGCCCGGATGTCGGGGAACGGGGTTTGTTTCCCGCTGGTTGACTCGGTTTATATACGTGGGAGTGTGTTTTCCATCCCTCGGGAGCTTCTGCAGGCAGAGAATGTGTCAGTGCTTCAGTATCCATGGAGATGATGGAAGCCTGTGTCGAGATCACGGAATTATAGACCATCCTGAGCTGGAAGTGCTGAAAATGATACAACCTTTCTAATATTTCTAGTGGCTTTCATGAAACCCTTTAATTAGTTGTTTTAGCTTATGTGTTAGGCCTTAAATCACTTTTAGCCAGCATACAGCAAAAAGTTGTCATAAGACAACTTTTGCGAGACGACAGCTTGGGAAAAGTACTAAAACTGTTAAAAGTTAACCTTTAATGAACAAAGCCCATGAGAGAGAAATGTGATGTTGAAACTGGACATTTGGAAACGAGGACCTTTTGCAGAAAACAGCAGATAAGGAAGAAGACTAACAAAGGCTTGATATTTGTGTTAGAAAATCCCTACCGGGGAAAAAGACACTAGAAAGATGAACTAATTAGCATAAGCAACAAGAGATTAATAACCAGTAGTGGATGGAATACTAATTAATGAAAGGGAATTATGTAATTTAGAACCAATGAACATTAATTAATTTGTTAAAAATGTATAAATACGTGAAAAAGGAATGAATTGGTGTTTATTCTTCCCGATGATTTTTGGAGGTATTTGGCAACAGAAGGGACCCACAAGGATTATCCAGTCCAACTCCTGGCAATGCCCAGGACACCCTAACAAACCCACCATGTGCCTGGCAGCATTGTCCAAACACTCCTTGAGCTCTGCCAGCCCTGGGGCTGTGACCACTGCCCTGGGGAGCCATAAATTTCTATGTATTCCCTCCCTGCTTAGTCAGGAACATCCAGCTGTGTTGAAATCCCATTCCTCGCAGGGAGCAAAATGCCTCCAAGTGGGAGTGAAAGCACAACACAGACTTGAACTTCCCCCGTTTGCCCTCCCAGCCTCACTGCTGGGTTCACCACCCAGCCAGTTCTCCTTCCCTCACTGTGACCTTCCCCAGGTCACCTGATTCCTACAGTGCATTTTCATGCCCTTTCTATGATCCAAGGATAATACATTCCACTGGAAAACATTCTGGACTTGAAAAATTAAATACAGTGGAACTGTATTATTGCTGTCAAGCAAAATCTTTCCTTTCCCAGCTCAGCGATTGCCTAATCCTGTCAGTGCCACTTGGAGAGCTGCCCCTTCTCCATCAGTTTTAACCCTCACAGCACTTTTTGACCAGATCTTTGGTCCCGTGTCAGAACATTCGTGGTGCTGTCGGTGCTTCTTTGGGGTCCCGGAACCGGCTTTTTGGGCTCCGGCTTTTAAGGGTTCCTCACACCCCTGGCCACAGCGTGTCCCCTCCGCGTGAACTGGCAGAAAAGGGTGTATTTTATGCAAAGATCACGTTACTGTGCCCCTACACATCTGCGCCCCCAAACCCCACCATCTCTGCAGGCAGGGACGGGCATGGGGGCAGAGGGCGGGATCGGGGACAGGGTCCGCAGCAAGCGAAGGGAAA